ATGTATAAAAGTAGTATAGTAGTACCAACACTCTTATATGGATGTGAAGCTTGGGTGGTAAATGCAGCGCGAGGAGACGGTTGGAGGCAGTGGAGATGTCCTGTCTAAGGGCAATGTGTGGTGAAAAATATTATGCAGAAAATTCGGAGTGTGAGAAATTAGGAGAAGGTGTGGGGTTAATAAAAGCATTAGTCAGAGGGCAGAAGAGGGGTTGTTGAGGGTGTTTGGTCATTTAGAGAGAATGGTCAAAGTAGAATGACATGGAAAGCATATAAATTATAGGGGAAGGAAAGAGGGGTAGGGGTCGTCCTCGGGAAAAGGGTTGGAAAGAGGGGGTAAAAAGGGGGTTTGTGGGTGGGGGCTTGGACTTCCAGCAAGCGTGCATGAGCGTGTTAGATAGGATGTGAATGGAGACGAATGATACTTGGGACCTGACGATCTGTTGGAGTGTGGGGCAGGGTAATATTTAGTGAAGGGATTCAGGGAAACGGTTATTTTCATATAGTCGGACTTGAGTCCTGGAAATGGGAAGTACAATGCTGCCCCTTTAAAGGAGGGGTTTGGGGTATTGCAGTTTGGGGATATGTTGTGTATCTCTATACGTATATGCTTCTAACTGTTGTATTTGAGCGCCTCTGCAAAAGCAAGTGATAATGTGTGAGTGTGGTTGAAAGTGTTGAATGATGATGAAAGTATTTTTTTTTTGGGGGGATTTTCTTTCTTTTTTTTTTTTGGGTCACCCTGCCTCGGTGGGAGACGGCCGATTGTTGAAAAAAAAAAAAAAAAAAATATATATATATATATATATATTATATATATATATATATATATATATATATATATATATATATATATATATATTTATATATATATATATATATATATTTTTTTTTTTTTTTTTTTTTTTTTAAAAAGTCGGCCATCCCCCACCGGGCAGGGTAAACCCAAGAAGAAAAAAAAATTCCTCAAAAAAAAAAAAAAATACAGTGGGGCCCCCCACTTAAAAGGGGGGTTTTGGGTTTCCCGGGGCTATCGCCGGAAAAAGCAGACATCCCCGGAAAAACCCAGAATGCCTTTTTTTTTCCTTTTTTTAAATTTTGCAATAGAACTAGCATTAAAAAAACAAAAAAAGTAAAAACAAAAAGAAATAATAAATACACAGTACACTTTTACTTAAAGTATTTGAAATTTTAAAATTTTGGGGAAGAGGTGGTTTTTCTTTTTTGTGGGAATTTCAGGGGTAGGGGGGCCCTGGTTCCCCATTCATATTTAAATTTAACGATATTTAAAACACCCAAAAAGTTTTAAAAATACACTACAGTACATATTATTTCCCTTAAAGTATGTGAAAGTTTTTAATGTGGGAAGAGGGGGGAAAGTAGTATATACAGGGGGTTTCCTTCAATTATCGTCCTTAATCGTTCCGGAAGTGGGACTTTTATCGAAAATAGAGGGATTTTCAAAATTAAAATTTTCCCCCCATAAGAAATAATGTAAACCCAAATTTAAATTTTTCCGGGAACCCCCAGAAGTATCGAAAATTTTTTTTTTTTTACCTAAAAGATAGATTTACTTTCCCAAAAAAATTTGAACTTTTAAACATGCCAGTTACTTTATTAAAGGTGTTGTTGTTTAAAATGGAAGACAGGGAGGGGGGAAAGGGGAAGAGGGGGTTTTTTGGGTTTGGAAGGGGGGAACCCCCCTTCCAAAAGGAAACTTAGGTACTTCAGGGGTCACTTCTCTAGTTTAAATATAGATTTACATGCGGGAAAAAAATGCCAAAAAAATTTGGTAAAAAAAGCACTAAAAAAATGTATAAATGAACATTGGTTATAGAGGGAAAGTTGATGAGTGGAACAGTCTCCCTTTAAGAGGGGATCGAAGCTAAAAAATTGGGTAGTTTCAAATTTAGGTTGGATAGATAAAGAGTGAGGGGTTGTATTTGGGGTCGGACTTGCACCTGAGCTTATTGCTTGGGGAGAAAATTTTTTCTGTTAGGGGTTGGGGTTTTTTGAAGGACTGGCCTAGTATGGGGAGCAGGGGCCTACTGCAGTGTTCCTCCTTTCTTATGTTCTTATTGGAGACTTGTTGTGTGATGGAAGGGATGATAAGTTTGTTGGGGAAATATGACGCTAATATCAACCTCTTACGGCTTATTTTAAGTATCACAATTCAACTAATATGACATAATGAACAATATTAATAACGTAGAAACATGTAATATACTCTAGAATGAATAAAATAAGTCATTACATATGTCACGAGAGGTGTTGTGTTGTGTTGTTGGGTATATAAGGGCCACTGAGAGTAAGCCGTCCATAATGGTGGTGAAGCAGCAGCTGAGGGTGGTTGTTTTCTGTAGCCCTATATAACTCCCACAACATTGGAGGAGTTGGTAGAATCGCTGAATTACTAAAGAAGGAACCCTCTACCACCATCACTACAACCTTCTAACACTATTACAACTGTTACCACCATCACTACTACCTTCTACCACCATCATTACCACTATCAAAAACTGTTTCCCACTCTACCCCCACCCCACCACCACCACCACCACCCCTTTGCATTTTTCTACAAACTTTTTCATAAATTATATGTGTTTCTCACATTCTTTACCAAAGGGCTGGCACTAGAAGCTTTTTTTGGAGCCATTGGTAGCTTATTTAGCACTTGCAAGCAGTAAAATCAATGGAATATATGAAATATTTCGTAGGGCATGTGAGGGGACCGTTGCTCACTGGAAAACAATGGCCCCACTGGGGGGAAAGGGCAGGCCAGGGGCTCAGAGCGTGAGTACGCGTCTTGGACGAAGGACAAATTAGCGAGTTAACGGACCATTTGCGAGCCAATGTTTAGACGAAAAAAACGGGACTATTTCCGAAATGGACGACTTTCAGGCCGGACGATTATTGAGGGACCACTGTATTTGCAGGAAGTCAGTGTAGGTAAACCGGTAGGTGTAGCCCGCCTGGGCTACACCGACCGGCTACCTTTCACTGTGGCCCCGAGCCATATTATTAGCATCGACATACCTTGTTCACTGAATTTAATCGTTTCTAAAACTACATTTAGATGCCATCATAAATGAAGGTAGAAGTAATGAATAATTCATGCCGAAAAAATTTTAAACAAAAGCGGAGGGGGGGGAGTAGCTGGGCCAAATGCAGATTCATACACGTTTTCTCTGGTGCTGAGCAAAAGAAAACGTAATGTCCCTCCCCCTGGCTACCACACAAGTCCACAAGTATTATTATCAGAGCACATATAAAATATGCAATAAATGCCAGGACAACAAGTTTACACTAACTTACATTAAGTTAGCAATAAAAATAGCATTAAAAAAACAATGAAAGGGAAGATACACAGAGAATACACTTATTACTTACCTTAAAATTAATATTAATGGGTGAGAGGTGGTGGCAGGGTGTTTATTGAATAAAATTAAAAATGGCACACCATCATCCTCTAACTTGGCACTTAAAGCAAGAGGCTTACGATCATCTTTTTATCACAGCTAAGCTTAGGGCGCCATCGTCAGTGAGAGCCAACAAGTTAACGAAAGAGTAAACAAAAGAGAGAACGAGATACAGAGTTCAGATATGTAAGAATACAAACTGAAAAGTAATGGGGGGGTCACTTGGTCATTGAAATAAATGATATTAATATGTGTACTTTTAGTTCATTCACGTACGTTTTTAAGAGTTTGTAAAAAATTTTCCGCAATATTTTTTTTATTAAAAAAAATTTCCTCCAATAC